CCCAAAAAACCCCAAAAAAAAAAAAACAACCAAAAAACAAAAAAAAACCCCAAAACCCCGGAAAAAAAACTTTAAAAAAAAAAAAAAAAAAACAAACCAAACCCAAAAAATTTAAAAAAACAAAGGAAAAAAACCCAAAAAACAAAAACAAAAAACAAAAAAAAGGGCCCCCAAAAAAAAAAAACCCCCCCAAAAAAACCCCAAAAAAAAACCCCCCCAAAAAAACCCCCAAAAAAAAAAAAACCCCAAAAAAACCTTTTGGAAAAAAACAAAAACCCCCTTTAAAACAAAAAACCCCAAACCCCCCCCAAAAAAAAACAAACCCAAAAAAAAAAAGAAAAAAAAATTCCCCAAAATAAAAAAAAATTAAAAAAAAAAACCCCCAAAAAAAAAAAAAAAACAAAAAAAACAAAAAAATTCCCCAAAAGGGGGGAAAAAAAAAAAAAAAACAAAAACCCAAAAAAACAAATACCCAAAAACCAAACCAAAAAAAATTCCCCTAAAAAAACCAAACAAAACCCAAAAAAAAAAAACCCAAAAAAACCCCCATTTTAAAAAAAACAAAAAAAAAAAAAAAAAAAAAAAACAAAACCAAAAACCCCCAGGAAACCCCCCCAAAAAAAAAAAACAACCCCAAAAAAACACCCCCAAAAAAAAAAAAAAACAAAAAAAAACCCCCCAAAAAAAAAAAAAAAAATTAAAAAAAAAAAAAACCAAAAAAAAAAAAATTTTAAAAAAAAAAAAAAAACCAAAAAAAACCCCCTTAAAAAAAAAAAAAACAAAAAAAAGGCCCCCCCCAAAAAAAAAATTAAAAAAAAAAAAAACCCTAAAAAAACCACCCCCAAAAAAAAACCCCAAAAAAAAACATCCCCCCAAAAAAAAAAACAAACAACCCAAGGGGGGGAAAACCCCCCAAAAAAAAAAACATCAAAAACCCCAAAAAAAACCCCAAAAAGGAAAAAAAAAAACCCAAAAATTTCCCCAAAAAAACCCCCAAAAAAACCCCAAACCCCCAAAAAAAAAAAAAAACCCAAAAAAAAACCCCCCCCAAAAAACCCCGGGGGCCAAAAAAAAAAAAAAAAAAGAAAAAAAAACCCCCCAAAAAAAAACCCCCCCAAAAAATCCCAAAAAATTAAAAAAAAAAATCACAACCCATTAAAAAACCCCAGATTTTGGGAAAAAAATTTTCCCCCCCCAAAAAAAAACCCCCAAAACCCCCAAAAAAAAATAAAAAAAACCCCCCAAAAAAAAAAAAAAAAACAAAAAAGAAAAAAAAAAACAAAAAAAAAAAAAAAACCAAAAAAAAAAAACAAACCCCAAAAAAAAGGCCCCCAAAAAAACCCCCCCTAAAAAACCCCCAAAAACCCCCCAACAAACAAAAAAAACATCCAAAAAAACCCCCCAAAAAAACAACCCCAAAAAAAACCCCCAAAACCCCAAAAAAAAACAACCCGGAAAAACCCCCAAAAAAAAAAACCCCCCCAAAAATTAAAAAAAAAATTTCCCCCCCAAAAAAAACAAATTTAAAAAACCCCCTTTAAAAACAACCCCCCCCCAAAAAAACCCCCCCCCCCCCCTTAAAACCCCCCCCCCCAAAAAAAACCCCCCCTTTTCCCCTCACAAACCCCCCTTTCCCCCCCCCAACCCCCCCCCCCCAAAAAAAAACCCCCCCCCCCTTTTTCCCCCCAAAAAACCCCCAAAACCCCCCCCTTTTAAACCCCCCCCCCCCCCCCCCCCCCCCTTTAAAACCCCCCAAAACCCCCTTTTTAAAAAAACCCCCCCCCCTTAAAAATTTTAAAAAAAAAAAAAAAACCCCCCTTTTTTTCCCCCCCCCCTTTCAAACCAAAAACCAACCCCCCAAAAAAAAAAACCCCCCCCCCCCCCCCCCAAAACAAAAAACCCCCCCAAACCCCCTTTTCCCCCCCCTCACAAACCCCCCCCCCCCCAAAAAATTTTTTTTCCCCCCCCCCCGGGCCCCCCCCCCCAAAACCCCCAAAACCCCCCCAAAAAATTTTCCCCCAAAAAAACCCCCCAAACCCCCCCCAAAACCCCCCCCTTTTCCAAAAAACCCCCAAAATTTTTTAAAAACCCCCTTTCAAACCCCCCAAAAAAAAAACCCCCCCCCAAAAAAAAAACCCCCCCAAAACCCCCCCCCCCAACCCCCCAAACCCCCCAAAAAAACCCCCCTTTAAAAAAAAAACCCCCCCCCCCCCCAAAAAAATTTTCCCCCCTTTTAAAAAAAACCCCCCCCCCTTTAAAAAACCCCCCCCCCCCGGTTTTTTAAAAACCCCCCCCCCCTTTTTTTTTCCCCCCCCCTTCCCCAAACCCCCAACCCCCCCCCCCCCCCCAAAAAAAAAAACCCCCCCCCCCCCCAAAAAACCCCCCCCCCCAAAAACCCCCCCCCCCCCAACCCCCTTCCCCCCCCCCCCCCAAAAACCCCCCAAAAACCCCCCCCCCAAAACCCCCCCCCCCCCCCCCTAAAACCCCCCCCTTTTCCCCCCCAACCCCCCCTCCCCCCTTTTAAAACCCCCCTTTAAAACCCCCCCCCCCCCAAAACCCCCCCCCCCCAAAAAAAAAACCCCCTTTTTTTTTTCCCCCCCCCCAACCCCTTTTCCCCCCCCCCCCCCCCCCCCCCTTCCCCCCCCCCCCCCCAAAACCCCCTTTCCCCCCCCCCCCCCCTTTTTTAAAAAACCCCAAAAACCCCCCCCCCCTTTATCCCCCCCCTTTTTCCCCCCCGGTTTTTCCCCCCCCCCCCCCCCCCCCCAAAAAAAACCCCCCCCCTTTTTTTCCCAAAAAAAAAACCCCCCCCCCCTTTTCCCCCCCCCCCAAAAACCCCCCTTTTAAAAAAAAACCCCCCCAAAACCCCCCCCCCCAAAAAAAACCCCCAAAAACCCCCCGGCCCCCCAACACCCCTTCAACCTCCCCGGCCCCCCCCCCCTCCCCCCCCCAAAAAAAACCCCCCCCCCCCCTTCCCCCCCCCCTCCCCTTTTTTTCCCCCCCCCTCCCCCCCCAACAGCCCTCTCAACCTCCTTGCTCTTCACCAACACCCCTCTGAACCTCTTTGGTCTTCAGCAACACCCCCCTGAGTCTTTTTGATCTTCTCCAACACTCCTCTCAACCTCTCTGGTCTTCACCAACACCCCTCTCAACCTCCCTGGGTTTCACCAACACCCGTCTCAACCCCTCTGGTTTCCACCAACACCCCTCTCAACCTCCCTGGTCTTCATCAACACCCCTCTTAACCTCCCTGGTCTTCACCAACACCCCTCTCAACCTCCCTGGTCTTCACTAACACTCTTCTCAACCTCCTTGATCTTCTCCAACACTCCTCTCAACCTCTCTGGTCTTCATTAACACCCTTCTCATCCTCCCTGGTCTTCACCAACACCCATCTCAACCTCCCTGGTCTTTAACACTCCTCTCAACCTCCTTGATCTTCTCCAACACTCCTCTCAACTTCTCTGGTCTTCATTAACACCCATCTCATCCTCCCTGGTCTTCACCAACACTCCTTTCAATCTCCCTGGTCTTCATCAGCACTCCTCTCAACCTCCCTCGTCTTCACCAACACTCCTCTCATCCTCTTTGGTCTTCACTAACGCCCCTTTTAACCTTTCTGGCCTTCACCAACAGTCCTCTGAACCTCCGTGGTCTTCACTGTCACCCCTCTCAACCTCCCTGGTTTTCACTAACAACCCTCTCAACCTTCCTGGCCTTCACCAACAGCCCTCTCTCAACCTCCCTGGAGTTCACCAACAGTCGTCTCAATTTTCTTGGCCTTCACCAATAACCCTCTCGATCTCCCTGGCCTTCACCAACTCCCCTCTCAGCCTTCCTGATCTTCACCATTACCTCTCTCAACCTCCCTGGCCTTCTCCAATTCCGTTCTCATCCCTCTTTTCTACACAAGCTTACTGTATACTTAAATTCGCAAATGTGCTTTTTGTGTCCCGGCCTTGTATATTTCTGTCTACCCCGAGGTTCTGAAGATCCTGGAGAGGTTAGCGTGTCTCCTATTGGTGTGATTGGCGAGGCACAAGGATGTGGAGTTCTCTAATTGTCTGGATCATGATTGTGTCTCAGGGAATGAGCAGATGGATACCGAGGCAAAGGCTGCTGCAGCAAGCCCTTGTTGAGGCAAAGGCTGCTGCAGCCAAATCCATGCCGAGGCAGGGGCTACTGCAGCAAGCCCACTCTACATAAGGCTTTTCCCTGAGTGACTTCACGAGCCATATAGACAGATATGTACCTGGAAAATAGAGTACCTAGTGGGCCCAACACACTGGCAGAAAGTTGTACAGAGTTTGGCAGGACCCGCGTGTTTGACTCTCCTCCTCCTTCAAAGAAATCGTCATTGGAAACAAATCTGTTGACTGAGGACGAGGCATACACACCTCATCTATAGCCACCTGTTCGCAGGTGCTCCTGTTCCCCTTTGAGTAGATTGTGGCTGTGGAACATATTTAAATTTTTTACCCTCCGTTTAGGTCTTTCTGTTTTCATATTTTTTTCTAATTACTGAGGTACCTGGAGGGATCTTTGGGAAATTTTAGCAGTCTTTTTAAACAATAATTTTCTGAGACTTTTAGTTAATACTGGTTACTTTAACTTGGCGTGGTATTATTTAGGATGTTATCTTTGTTTCACTGAGTTTGTTGTGTTTATGTTTAATGTTATGAGCTATGAGTAACCCACACCGTCACAGTTCTCTGGTAATGTCACTACTTCTACTATCCTCACCTTCACCAACACCCCTCTCTAACTCCTTTTACCTGCAGCAACACCCCTCTCAAACCCCCCTCACACCAACACCCCACTCAAACCCCCCTCACACCAACACCCCACTCAAACCCCTCTCACACCGACACCTCTCTCAATCCCTCTCACCCACATACATAAACACATATTTGTACTCATTGAGAAAACACTGAACCTTCTCACACAGCTCAGCATAATAAGTGTGGAGGCATAAGTAAAGCAATGTGAAGTGTTGTTTACAGGTGTCTTGGCCAGCTGGTGTGGAGGCGGCCGTGACGGCTGCACCGCTAGCAACCCTGCACCACCTGCTGCACCGCCAGCTACCCTGCACTACCTGCTGCACAGCCAGCTACCCTGCACTACCTGCTGCACAGCCAGCTACACTGCACCACTTGTTGCACTGCTAATTACTCTGTACCACCTGCTGCACCGCTAGTTACCCTGCACCACCTGCTGCATCGCCAACTACTTTGAGCCACCTGCTGCACCGCCAGCTACCCTGCACTATCGTCCTCTACTACCTCAAGTTACCCGAGAAAACAATTTCTGACAATGAAGCAGAATGAATATATTGCATTTTTAATGAGTTCGCTTGGACGATAACTGCAGAGAGAAGACAAGTGTGTGATAACCATGACTGGACTGTAGTTGGTGTTCCAGTCCGTGTTATGGTCATCTGTGATTGTCACCCTCATTCATTTTCCTTAATAAATGCAGTAAGTGAAGAAAAGGACCACATGTCTGGCATCTTGCAGCTAAGCTTGAAGACTTTGTTTCTAGACTTGTGCTCACTTTATTATATCAGACTCAGTGGCCAGACTTGTCTGTGCTTTATTATATAAGGCTCCCAACATTATCTTATTGAAGTAATCAGCTTTTTACCGAAAATAATGTAGTAACATTGTGTGTGTGAGGAGGGTTATCAGGCACAAGATAACACAAGAACACTTGGTAAAGAGTAAGTGGCTACCGTGCGCCGGCAGGCGTCGAAGGCAGAATTCCCTGACAACAACAGAAAAATTTAGAACACATTTAATTTTTTTGCGAAGAATAAAGTTTTGGGAAGTGTCAGTACTTGGTGAACAACTGTAAAAGTCCGCGCAGTTTACGTCTGCAGAGCAATCTGTATGCTTGGCCACTCACTGGTGGGTCTTGGAAGACCTGAAACACAGGTCTTGATAAATCTGAAATACAAGTCATGAAAGACTTGAAACACAGGTTCAGTTGAACATTCACAGTATTACGACTGTCAGCTTAACACTGTGGTTATATAGTTAACATTCAACTTAATACAGACATCAAAATCCATTAAGATGTAGCAACACTACTTTGATTACATAACACGTTAATAAACCCAAAAATATTAAACTTCAAACTAATTGTAGAGAGAAATAGAATATTCATGAAGAGCAGCGACAAAAGAAATTACGTAAGACAATAAAAGAAAGCTTGGTGGGTTGTCTCAGTTTACGACAAGTAGGAGGTACTTAACATTAATGCTCCAGATAGACGGATTTTAAAGAGAACCCTTGCACATACCAGTGTTAAGATAGTAGTAACAACAGAAATTCCAAGTCCAGATAAACAATAGCGGTAAATAATAGAAACAAAGCTGTGTATAGCTGGAGTATAACCAAAACTTTGGTTCTTCAGCCTCGTTGATAATACTACACACGTCCAAGACACTTGTCTAATGGTCAAGATGTCTAGCAAGACAGTGGACTGGAGTCGCTTCGGTCTGGCGTCGGACACCGACCAGGTTTCAGAAACCACCCGACTGAAGGACCCGGCGCTAGAGGAAGGTTATTATGGAGGACAAGACGCTGAACTCTTCGCTGAGGAGAAGGTGAGTATGACAGAACCAGTACTGAGAGGTCAGGGCACTGAGAGGCACTGTGAAAGTTGCAAAAGTGAGAGGAACACATACAGTTGTATAAGTGAGAGAAACACACAAACAATTGAATGACTCCTACGGGTTTAACATATTTTTCTGAATGTAATAAAGACAAAAATCTGTGCTGACAAATTAAAAACTTTGGGTTTGAGTCGGAAAAGGAAGATGTGAGTGCACAGACCCGGTTTTGTTGCCAGGTTTGGAATGTTAAAAATGTGAAGTGTTATAAGGCTTTAATAAAGGGCACGATGGAGAGAGTGAAGGACCTGACTGAGGGGCATGATGGAGAGAGTGAAGGACCTGACTGAGGGGCATGATGGAGAGCGTGGAGGACCTGACTGAGGAGCATGACAGAGAGAGTAAAGGACCTGAGGAGCATGATGGAGAGCGTGGAGGACCTGACTGAGGGGCATGATGGAAAGAGTGGAAGACCTGACTGAGGGGCATGAGAGAGAGAGAGAAGGACCTGAGTGAAGGGCATGATGGAGAGAGTGGAAGACCTGACTGAGGGGCATGAAGTAGAGCGTGGAGGACCTGACTGAGGAGCATGATGGAGAGCCTGGAGGACCTGCCTGAGGAGCATGATGGAGAGAGTGAAGGACAAGACTGAGGGACATGATGGAGAGAGTGGAGGACCTGACTGGGGAGCATGATGGAGAGAGTGGAGGACCTGACTGGGGAGCATGATGGAGAGAGTGGAGGAACTGATTGAGGAGCATGATGGAGAGAGTGGAGGACCTGACAGAAGAGCATGATGGAGAGCGTGGAGAACCTGAGGAGCATGATGGAGAGAGTGGAGGACCTGACTGGGGGGCATGATGGAGAGAGTGGAGAACCTGATTGAGGAGCATGATGGAGAGAGTGGAGGACCTGACAGAAGAGTATGATGGAGAGCGTGGAGGACCTGACTGAGAAGCATGATGGAGAGTGGAGGACCTGACTGAGGAGCATGATGGAGAGTGGAGGACCTGACTGAGGAGCATGATGGAGAGTGGAGGACCTGACTGAGGAGCATGATGGAGAGTGGAGGACCTGACTGAGGAGCACGATGGAGAGAGTGGAGGACCTGACTGGGGAGCATGATGGACAGAGTGGAGGACCTGAGTGCGGAGCATGATGGAGACCGCGGAAAACCTGACTGAGGAGCATGATGAGTTGAGGACCTGACTGAGGAGCATGATGGAGAGTGTGGAGGACCTGACTGAGAAGCATGCTGGAGAGCGTTGAGGACCTGACTGAGGAGCATGATGAAGAGTGGAGGACTTGACTGAGGATCATGATTGAGAGCGTGGAGGACCTGACTGAGGAGCATTTTGGAGAATAAAGGACCTGACTGAGGAGCATGATGGAGAGTGTGGAGGACCTGACTGAGGAGCATGATGGAGAGCGTGAAGGACCTGATTGAGGAGCATGATGGAGAGAGTGGAAGACCTGACTGAGGAGCATAATGGAGAAAGTGGAGGACCTGACTGAGGAGCATGATGGAGTGTGGAAGACCTGACTAAGGAGCATGATTGAGAGTTGAGGACCTGACTGAGGAGCATGATGGAGTGTGTGGAGGACCTGACTGAGGAACATGATGGAGAATGGAGGACCTGACTAAAGGGCATGATGGAGAGTGTGGAGGAGCTGACTGAGGAGCATGATGGAGAGAGTGGAATGTGACTGAAGATCATGATCGACAGTGTGGAGGATCTGACTGAGGAGCATGATGGAGAGTGTTGAGGACCTGACTGAGGAGCATGATGGAGAGCGTGGAGGACCTGACTGAGGAGCATGATGAATGGCGTGGAGGACCTGACTGAGAAGCATGATGGAGAGTGGAAGACCTGACTGAAGAACATGATGGAGGGCGTGGAAGATTTGACTGAGGAGCATGATGGAGAGTTGAGGACCTGACTGAGGAGCATGATGGAGAATGGAGGACCTGACTAAAGGGCATGATGGAGAGTGTGGAGGACCTGACTGAGGAGCATGATGGAGAGAGTGGAACGTGACTGAAGAGCATGATCGACAGTGTGGAGGATCTGACTGAGGAGCATGATGGAGAGTGTTGAGGACCTGACTGAGGAGCATGATGGAGAGCGTGGAGGACCTGACTGAGGAGCATGATGGAGAGCGTGGATGACCTGACTGAAGAGCATAATGGAGAGCGTGGAGGATCTGACTGAGGAGCATGATGAATGGCGTGGAGGACCTGACTGAGAAGCATGATGGAGAGTGGAAGACCTGACTGAGGATCATGATGGAGAGCATGGAGGACCTGACTGAGGAGCATGATGGAGAGAGTGGAGGACCTGCCTGAGGAGCATGATGGAGAGAGTGGAGGACCTGACTGAAGAACATGATGGAGGGCGTGGAAGACCTGACTGAGGAGCATGATGGAAAGTGGAGGACCTGATTGAGGAGCATGATGGAGAGAGTGGAGGACCTGACAGAAGAGCATGATGGAGAGCGTGGAGGACCTGACTGAGGAGCATGATGGAAGGCGTGGAGGACCTGACTGAAGAGCATGATGGAGAGCATGGAGGACCTGACAGAGGAGCATGATTGAGGGCGTGGAGGACCTGACTGAGGAGCCTGATGGAGAGTGGAGGACCTGACTGAGGATCATTGTGGAGAGCATGGAGGACCTGACTGAGGAGCATGATGGAGAGAGTGGAGGACCTGCCTGAGGAGCATGATGGAGAGAGAGTTGAAGACCTGGCTGAAGAGTATGATTGAGGGCGTGGAGGACCTGACAGTGGAGCATGATGGAGAGTGGAGGACCTGACTGAGGAGCATGATGGAGAGTGGAGGACCTGACTGTGGAACATGATGGAGAGCGTGGGGGACCTGACTGAGGAGCATGATGGAGAGAGTGGAGGACCTGACAGAGGAGGATGATTGAGAGTTGAGGACCTGACTGAGGAGCATGATGGAGAGAGTGGAGGACCTGATTGAGAAGCATGATGGAGAGAGTGGAGGACCTGAGAGAAAATCATGATGGAGAGCGTGGAGGATCTGACTGAGGAGCATGATGGAGAGAGTGGATTACCTGACATAAGAGCATGATGGACAGCGTGGAGGACCTGACTGAGGAGCATGATGGAGAGAGTGGAGGACCTGACAGAAGAGCATGATGGAGAGCGTGGAGGACCTGACTGAGGAGCATGATGGAGAGTGTGGAGGACCTGACTGAGGAGCATGATGGAAAGTGGAAGACCTGACTGAGGAGCATGATGGAGACTGTAGGACCTGACTAAGGAGCATGATGAAGAGTTGAGGCCCTGACTGAGGAGCATGATGGAGAGCGGAAGACCTGACTGAGGAGCATGATGGATAGCGTGGAAGACCTGATTGAGGAGCATAAAGAAGAGAGTGGAGGACCTGACTGAGGAGCATGAAGGAGAGCGAGGAGGACCTGACTAAAGAGCATGATGGAGAGTATGGAAGACCTGACTGAGGAGCATGATGGAGAGTGTGGAGGACCTGATTGAGGAGCATGATGGAGAGTGGAAGACCTGACTGAGGAGCATGATGGAGAGTGGAGGACCCGACTGAGGAGGATGATGGAGAGTGGAGGACCTGACTGAGGAGGATGATGTAAAGCGTGGAGGACTTGACTGAGAAGCATGGTGGAGAGCGTGGAGGACCTGACTGAGGAGCATGGTGGAGAGGGTGGAGGAATTGACTGAGGAGCATGATGGTGAGCGTGGAGGACCTGTCTGAAGAGCATGGTGGAGAGCGTGGAGGACCTGACTGAGGAGCATGATGGTGAGCGTAGAGGACCTGTCTGAAGAGCATGGTGGAGAGCGTCAAGGACCTGACTGAGGAGCATGATGGTGAGCGTGGAGGACCTGTCTGAAGAGCATGGTGGAGAGCGTGGAGGACCTGACTGAGGAGCATGGTGGAGAGCGTGGAGGACCTGACTGAGGAGCATGGTGGAGAGCGTGGAGGACTTGACTGAGGAGCATGATGGAGAGGGTGGAGGAATTGACTGAGAAGCATGGTGGAGAGGGTGGAGGAATTGACTGAGGAGCATGATGGTGAGCGTGGAGGACCTGTCTGAAGAGCATGGTGGAGAGCGTGGAGGACCTGACTGAGGAGCATGATGGTGAGCGTGGAGGACCTGTCTGAAGAGCATGGTGGAGAGCGTGGAGGACCTGACTGAGGAGCATGGTGGAGAGCGTGGAGGACCTGACTGAGGAGCATGGTGGAGAGCGTGGAGTACTTGACTGAGGAGCATGGTGGAGAGCGTGGAGGACCTGACTGAGGAGCATGGTGGTGAGCGTGGAGGACCTGTCTGAAGAGCATGGTGGAGAGCGTGGAGGACCTGACTGAGGAGCATGGTGGAGAGCGTGGAGGACCTGACTGAGGAGCATGGTGAAGAGCGTGGAGGACCTGACTGAGGAGCATGGTGGAGAGCGTGGAGGACCTGACTGAGGAGCATGGTGAAGAGCGTGGAGGACCTGACTGAGGAGCATGATGGAGAGCGTGGAGGACCTGACTGAGGAGCATGATGGAGAGAGTGGAGGACCTGACTGAGGAGCATGGTGGAGAGAGTGGAGGACCTGACTGAGGAGCATGATGGAGAGAGTGGAGGACCTGACTGAGGAGCAAGATGGAGAGAGTGGAGGACCTGACTGAGAGGCATGATGGAGAGAGTGGAGGACCTGACTGAGGAGCATGATGGAGAGGTGGAGGACCTGACTGAGGAGCATGATGGAGAGAGTGGAGGACCTGACTGAGGAGCATGACGGAGAGAGTGGAGGACCTGCCTGAGGAGCATGATGGAGAGAGTGGAGGACCTGACTGAGGAGCATGATGGAGAGAGTGGAGGACCTGACTGAGGAGCATGATGGAGAGAGTGAAGGACCTGACTGAGGAGCATGATGGAGAGAGTGGAGGACCTGCCTGAGGAGCATGATGGAGAGAGTGGAGGACCTGACTGAAGAACATGATGGAGGGCG